GTCTCCTGGCTTGGATCCCCGGCTATGCCTCCTGTGAGTCAGGTTAACCCTTCAGATTAGGCTTTGGTCTCTAAGGCTAGGTCTACGCTATGGGGTCGACCTAAGATACGCAACTTCAGCTATGTGAATAGCGTAGCTGAAGTTGCGTATTTTAAGTTGACTTACCTGGCTGTGAGGACGGCGGCGAGTCAACCGCTGCTGTGCCACCGTCGACTCTGCTTCCGCCTCTTGCCGCGGTGGATTTCCGGAGTCAACGGCAGAGCGATCAGGGATCGATTTTTATCGTATCTTCACTAGATGGTGATTGCTATCCGGCGGGTAGTGAAGGTATGCCCTGACTCCTGACTATAACTTTTAGTTGTGCTCCTGAACCAGTTCTAACTAGCAGGCTAAATTCTTGCACCAACCATTAGGCCAGACTGCCCATAACTTGGCCACTAACAAAGCACTGTAATCAGCAAAGGTAGATTTTATATTGTGTGTGTGTGTGTGTGTGTGTGTGCGCGCGCCCTTTTTGTTCCTCTTACAAGATACAAAGACTCTTCTGGAAATGTGCTGAGGAGTCCTTGGTGGATATACAACCACCATAGCTGACCCCTACATCTCTAGGGCTTCTGATACAGGGGGCCTATTGGAGGGGGGCATAAATAAAACAGCTAGAGTGTAATGCTTCCAGTTCTCCTTGACTAGTGTATGCTACGAAGGGAATGGTAGCTAGCTGGCTCATGTCAGAGCAGTCTGGAGGCAGCTCTAAGTTGGACTGGGCCAGAGAACAGGGGAGCTGTAAATGGTGGTTAGTTCTCCAAAAGGCAACAGAGGGTCCTGTGGCACCTTTAAGACTAACAGAAGTATTGGGAGCATAAGCTTTCGTGGGTAAGAACCTCACTTCTTCAGATGCTTTTTACAGATTCAGACTAACACGGCTACCCCTCTGATAGGTTAGTTCTCCAGTTATCCTCTGCTGGGTTACCCTGAAGGGCTGTGTGAAGAGAATGAGGAGTCTTTTGCTAGGAGGTCCTCTAGGTTCAGGGAGAGCCAGTCAAGCACCTATCCATCAGCTCAGCAAGGAACCAGGCAATGGTTTAACTAGACTAGAGCTACTCGCCTCCCTGCCTTGCAATGCCCCCGGTGGCCAGTAGGGCGCTACCGAGCGCCTGGAAAGAACTGACAGCAGCAGCCGAGAGCTCCCAAAGCTACTGCAGGAGACGGGAGCACGTGCTGGGGCTGATTTAAACACTTTAGGTTTAAAAATCACAAGGTGCAGCTATGGGAGGCCAATTCCAGTTCCCAACCGAATACCGATTTTCTACAGTCACAAGTTATCCCATCATTGCATAGGTTGGAGACCACTGAATAAAGTCTTTAAATTGAGTGCCTGACACTCTCTTGGTTGTCAAGTATCAGAGGGGTAGCCGTGTTAGTCTGAGTCTGTAAAAAGCAACAGAGGGTCCTGTGGCACCTTTAAGACTAACAGAAGTATTGGGAGCATAAGCTTTCGTGGGTAAGAACCTCACTTCTTCAGATGCAAGTCTGGTTCTTACCCACGAAAGCTTATGCTCCCAATACTTCTGTTAGTCTTAAAGGTGCCACAGGACCCTCTGTTGCTCTCTTGGTTGTGTAGCAATTAGTAACCAAAAATCAAACAAGTCTATGGTAGTGTGTTCGCTATCTCTAAGTTTTATCATCCCTTTCATTCCTTACGAACCCATCCTCTGTCAAAGAACCCACCCTCATGCTTATATGTTAGTAAAATCGTTTAGTAAATATGTCAAAATTCTTAAATAGTTTGAAACATACCTCCAAGACTACTGCATTTGTCAACACTGTTCTAGGTAAATAATGTTTAAATGTGTTGGGTTTGCATTTGCTGTTAACTAGGGTAGAACTAAAATAACTTTGTTCTTACTGATAAGGTTAGGGATGCCTTTCCCACTCCTCAAATAAAAGCCCCCAACGGGACTTCCTGGTTACATCGATCCCCTTTAAGACTTCAGAAATAGATTGATTGACTCGCAACAGAACAGTAATTAAGAAATGTGTTCTGTGCCTGTTAGATAGTTTGTTGCACGTTTTCCCCTTGCAGACGAGAAATGTCTCTAGGCAATGGGACTCCCCTCGATTAGATGCAGCTCAGAGAACTGCTGTTACTAGGGAGAACAGGACAGAGCTGTTCCCTTTGTGGAAACCGGATGTATTTCTAATGATAGGCGTCTGGCACCATTGGCACGTGTTACAATAATGCTAGTAGCTGTAGTAATAAGAGGCTTGTGCATACTATTCTGTTAATGTGAAGTTCTGCTAAAACAGTACCAGATTAACATCCCTTGATACTGACACCTGCAGGGCATGGAGAGAACGTGCGCCGTGCCGGACACCTGCCCCCACCTCAGCAGGATTCACAAACGAGGTGTTCCCCAGTCCCCACTCTGGTGAAAAGACACGTGGTGATAATGCTGCTGCCCCCCCTTAAACTCAGTAACCCAGCGTTAGAGCATCACCTGGCATGTGGGAGACCCAGGTTCAAATTCTCTCTCTGCTTGATGTGGAGCAGTGATTTGGACCCAGGTCTCCTATAGTCCGTGAGAATGACCGCTATAATGTATTCTAGGATGGGTTTCTCTCATTCCTTCCTGTTGGAACCGTTCCGCAGTGTATAAATGAAATATTCGTTGGAGAAGGGAGGGGGAGCTGGTGAAAGAATATAAACACTTTCCCTCTGCTAGAAATGTCATTTGACAAAAGCTGCTGAGTTCCTGTTAGCTGTTAATGATTTTTGGTCACCATCTGTTTGACTTGAAGTATATATAGTCAGAGTCCTGGGTAAAAGGCTGCCTATACTAGATCTAAACTTCTGTGTCTTCCAAGGATGGACAAATACATTTTATATTCAGTGTGTTGTTATATATTCAAATCACAGATAAAGCCACGAAAATTTATAATTTTCCATACAGTAAGATCAGAAAGGGGGAAGTTCTTGCTTCTGTTACAGCCTCCCTGTTCTAGTATTCAGACTCTGTTTGGAGGGGTGATACATTTGCCTGAAGAGACAGAAAAATGTTTTCTGTTAAATAAATACTGCTAGAAAAGCAATAATTCGAGAGATAAAGGAGAAAGTTTTGTCAACATCTCCGATAATAAAGCTATTAAAGGTGCTATTGCTGTATTCAGAATGTCTAACTTCTATCCTCAAGGAAAAGCCATTCTTTTCCCAAGCTCACAGAGATCCCTGGAGAAGGAAAATATTTGTATGAAGCAGGTTATTCCAGTTGATGGGGGAATGTTGTTACTCAGAATTAAAATCGATTATTCAGCTAATATTTGCCGCTCATATTTACTCCAAAAACTAATAGCTTAATTTGGATTGAAAGGAATCTCTGTTGTGCCTATGTCAGAAGTAGAAGTAACAGAAAAATACTTGGATCCCCATCAGGATGGGGTGAAAATACTGATATTTAACTCCAAGCAGATTAAAATAGCCACTTTATTTCCCATTCTGAATATTCAACAAAAAGCAGCTATTAATTATAATTAAAATAATTTGTCAGTAACTGATTTAGAAAACATTCGCTGAAAATTAGATATTGAAATTATTCATCCAATCAAGTGTCACTAATCTTAGTATTTGAATCGGGCTCTTGGTAATATATTTCTGACAAACAGTATCTATATTAATAAAAAGTGAGATAGAAAATAGCTAATCATCCTACACTGTGATAGCTTGTAATTGATTTAGGCCCAGTTGTTTCTGATCTCAGATCTTTTCAGCCTTGATTGAAGGTAGTGAAGGTGTTTTGAAATCATTTGAAGCTGCTTGAGAGTTCTTTTCTGCACACTTCAGTCTTACCTCCTGAACAGTCACTTTTCCACTTGAGCCATAAGCAGGAGCCGCTAACGCCTGATGTGTTGAACTTTGCCTTACTTGTAAAAATTTAAAATGTTGGCTGAGAGGGTTCGCTTGTTCAAATTCCTTTATTGTGTAAGAGCCCAGCCATCTTATTTTGTTCCCTGTAAAGTCCCGTGTGCTGATGGCAGGACTAGTTTTCACTGGATGACTCACTGCACTCTGCTAGCGGGTTGTTACACCGATTTGAGATGATGTAGGCAATAATTCATTTTGGTTAAAGATGTTCAGAGCTAGACTTGGACTGTAGCCGCTTTGAAACCTAAAGGCAGATTTGGATGCCAGTGTCGCGAGTTAGCGCCCTGACTCCAATAACAACAGGAAAGGCTACACTGTGTCCCTGGCGCTTAGTCTGATGTTTGCCGTGTTTTGTACAATATGTGATTGCAAAAACATCGCCCCTTGGTGGGGGTTTCGCCGCCAGATTGGATTGTACTTTTCGTCTCCGGCAGTGCCTATTCCTCCATCCCAACCAGAATGGATTCACACCCCACAGAATAAATCCCCGAGAATCAACCCACCCAATGGGGGGTCAGAAATTCTTCTCTGCCCCTACCCCACGTTACTGCCCCCGCGTCTCCCTGTGATAACCAGCGTGGGGGAAGCCCCGGCTCAACCCTACTCCGGATTTTCTGCTGCTGGCGCTCTCTTCCCTGGTCCGTGGCTTCATGAATCTGGACTTGCCTCCTCCCCAGGGGACCGGACAGCAGGAGCTGCGCTCGCTGATAGGTGCAGAGGCTTGGGGGGGGGGGGCGACAGCCCGCCCCCGCCCCCCAAGGTTCACATCTCAGCCACTTCCCTGCGGGCTCCACAGCCTGCCGAGCCCCAGGAGCAGGGGCTGAGCCTCTCTCTGCTCCACTCCTGGGCTGAAGCGCCGACGGGAGGCAGCGCTCCCGGAGCGGAGCCCGGCTCCGAGGCGTACCAGACAAAGGGAAGCCGGAGCCCCGTCGGGGAGAGATCCTTGCGCTCCCGGACTCCGCTGCTGCCGGCCGGCAGCCCTGCGCGGGGCGCCCCAGGCAAAGGGCCTATCTAGCCAGGGAGCTCTCGGCCGGCTCGGCCCCGGGTCTCCCGGCCCCGGCTCTCCCGCCCTCGGCCCGGCATGTCGGCCGTGCGCAGACACCTCTGGGACGAGTACCAGGCGGTGGGCTCGGGCCGGGGCAGCGCCCGCAGGAAGCGGCAGCGCTTTGTGGACAAGAACGGGCGCTGCAACGTGCAGCACGGGAACCTGGGCGGCGAGAGCAGCCGCTACCTCTCCGACCTCTTCACCACGCTGGTGGACCTCAAGTGGCGCTGGAACCTGCTCATCTTCCTGCTGACCTACACGGTGGCCTGGCTGGTCATGGCCTCCATGTGGTGGGGCATCGCCTACCTGCGGGGCGACCTGCACCGCGCACACGACCAGAGCTACCAGCCCTGCGTGGCCAACGTGTACAACTTCCCCTCCGCCTTCCTCTTCTTCATCGAGACCGAGGCCACCATCGGCTACGGGCACCGCTACATCACCGAGCGCTGCCCCGAGGGCATCGTGCTCTTCCTCTTCCAGTCCCTGCTCGGCTCCATCGTGGACGCCTTCCTCATCGGCTGCATGTTCATCAAGATGTCCCAGCCCAAGAAGCGAGCCGAGACCCTCGTGTTCAGCCGGGCCGCCGTCATTTCCCAGCGGGACGGCAGGCTGTGCCTCATGTTCCGGGTGGGCAACCTGCGCAACAGCCACATGGTCTCTGCTCAGATCCGCTGCAAGCTCATCAAGGTGAGCCCGGAGGGGGGCGAACGGGCCGGGGAACGGGGCTGGCTTTGGCGCTGGGTTAGCCTGGATGGGGACCGGACTGGAAAAGAGCCCCCAGAGGGTCAAATCACAACAGCCCAGGCGGCTTCTCCGGGGGCAGTCAGAGGCAGCAGTGACTTTTTCAAAGCCGTGCCACAGCCCTGCTCTGTCCGTCGAGCTTTGCCCCAGAGGTTTGAACAATGGATGAGGCTGGGCAGCCGCTTTCTAAGGGGATTAACCCTTTAACCCCCCCCCCCCAATGACACCCAGCTTTACAGTGAGGCAAAACCCAGGGGGCGACCGTCCCCCTGGCGTTCTTTGCCCCTTTGGGGTAGTGCCGAATTTTCACGAGGGCGCTGACACTCAGCGAGGGACGCTACTGATTTATGCAGCTGGAAACTCGGTTCTGTTCACTCGACTCTGAGCCTGAATGCTTGTTTGTTTGGCGGGCCAGGGAGAAGGATGTGGCACCTGTAGAATACTCCGAAGCAGCTAAGCGGGAATCTTTTTCTGGGTGCTCCGAAAATGAGGCGTGAGAGAGTTGAATATGGGAGGAGGTGAAAATGGAAGTCTGAGGGAAGGATGAAAACCTTATTTTGGTCCAAGAAATTGGGAGAGGGGACATTTGCAGCCTGGTGCTTTCAGAGGTGGTTGTTTTGGTTTTTTAAAATCAGAAACACAAACCAATGCAACTTTATAAAACCTTCCAGGGAGCACTCCTGTTTTCAGTTATTGTTGTGAAACTGAGAAATAAAGTAGTTTAGTAAGGAAACAACAAGGAGTCCAGTGGCACCTTAAAGACTAACAGATTTATTTGGGCATAAGCTTTCGTGGGTAAAAAAACCACTTCTTCACATGCATGAAGTGAAAATTACAGATGCAGGCATTATATACTGACACATGAAGAGAAGGGAGTTACCTTACCAGTGGAGAACCAGTGTTGACAGGGCCAATTCAATCAGGGTGGATGTCACTACAAAAGCAGCTTTGCCTCTCCTGGAATTGACACCTCCTCATCAATTATTGGCAGTGGACTACATCCACCCTGATCGAATTGGCCCTGTCAACACTGGTTCTCCACTTGTGAGGTAACTCCCTTCTCTTAACTTGGGGAAACTGATTTGGGGGGACTCGGGATCAGAACGGCTAGTGAGGTCACCCTGCAAGAAGTAAAAGGGTGGGTGGAAGCCAGAGTTGAGATCTTTGTACTTGTAGGCTGGCTACTGGTGTCAGAACTCTAAGCCATAACAGTATAGCATTAAGGCATCCAAAGCTTCAAGGCAGGTGCTAACAGAACCCCTTACTGCGTGATCCCCACAAATGTCACAGAAATGTACTACACCTCTACCCCGATATAACATGACCCGATATAACACGAATTCGGATATAATGCGGTAAAGCAGTGCTCTGGGGGGGGGCGGGGCTGCGCACTCCAGCGGATCAAAGCAAGTTCGATATAACACGGTTTCACCTATAACCCGGTAAGATTTTTTGGCTCCTGAGGACAGCGTTATATCGGGGTAGAGGTGTATTTGTTACTTGCAGGTGTTTGGAAATATAAAAATGATTAAAAACTGATATTTATAGTATTAATCCTAGAAGTAATATGAACCATTACAGAGAATAAACCCCAAAGCTTCTCTGCTTTACACTTGAATGCAAGTTTCTTTAGGAGCGTTAGCCTGTTTTTTGACCCATCCTGTAAGGATTTTCCTATCACTGTTAGAGATTTGCACATTGGCAAGCTTTGTTCTGTTTTCTCATGAGTGTTTTCTTAAAACACACGAATAACATGGAAGGATAAAACACTAAAGAAAGAGTCCATCTCTGAAGAGCAGAGAAGAACAATTTCTGCAGATGAGTTGGATGGGATTTTCCATTTTTAAAGTTATGCTGAAATTCACAAATAGATTCCTTTAGGATGGTTTTATCAGTAAACAAGTGTAAAACTAAGCATTATTGAGGAGGGAAATCTCTTGATTCCAACTAAAAGATGAACCAGTACTCTTCTATGAATACCAGCTACAGTAAGCATGTTTTATACCATTAATTTGACAGGAAATAAAAGACAAAAAACTTACTGTTCCATCCAGCATTTCTATTATTTGAGGGAATTCTCTAACTAGTTTGGCCAAATAAAAGAAGGAAAATTGCTGCAGGCATTTTGATTATCAAAATGTGGAATTGTTGGATGGGGTAGTAGTTAGTAACCAAGGGGGAGTATTATACAGTAACTCCTCACTTAACATTGTAGTTATGTTTCTGAAAAATGCGACTTTAAGCGAAACTATGTTAAGCGAATCCAATTTCCCCATAAGAATTAATGTAAATAGGAGGGGTTAGGTTCCAGGGAAATTTTTTTCACCAGACAAAAAACTATATATTATATAGATATACACACAGTATACGTTTTAAACAATTTAATACTTTTTCACAGCTATGATGATTGTGAAGCTTGGTTGAGGTGGTGAAGTTAGAGGGTGGAAGAGGGAGGGATATTTCCCAGGGAATGCCTTGCTGCTAAATGATGAACTAGCATTCGGCTGAGCCCTCAAGGGTTAACACATTGTTGTTAATGTAGCCTCTCATCAAGGCAGCACGAACAGGAGGGAGGGGAGACAGCATAGCAGACAGAGACAGACCCACACCTTGTGTGTGGGGGAGAGAGAGAGAGAGATGCACACTGCCCCTTTAAGTAAGCTGACCCACTCTTAAGTGCATTGTCTTTTTAAGTGCATCAGGAAGTTGAGACAGCAGCTGCTGCCCCAAGCTCTCTCTGTCTCTCTCCATCCGTGTCCCCTCCCTGCTCTATATGGAGAAGGGGTAAGTGGGGTGCAGGAGCAGGGGGGACACCCTGACATTAGCCCCCCCCTTCCCCTCCCTGCACAATAAGCAAGAGTCTCTGGGAGCAGCTCCAAGGCAGAGGGCAGGAGCAGCACAGAGGAGGGGAGGGAGGGACAGCTGAACTGCCGATTGATAGCCTGCTGGGTGGCTGCAGCACAGGGAACTTAGGGGGAGCTGATAGGAGGGCTGCCGGTCCACCCTGGTTACAAGCCCCCACCAGCTAGCTGCAACGGGCTGCTCTTCCTGCAAGCAGTGGACAAAGCAGGCGGCTGCCAAATGACGTTAGAAGGGAGCATTGCACAACTTTAAACGGGCATGCTCCCTAATTGATCACCAACATAACAACGTTAACCAGGACGACTTTAAGTGAGGAGTTACTGTATTAACTAGACCCTAGTCTATGGTAACATTAGATTCAGCAGTCTCCTGATCTTTCACCCTCAAGAAATCTTTGAATCAAACTCATCTTTGGACAAATCTTCTAGTTTGGCACTCAGACCAGCAATTTATATATCAACAAAAAAGGTAGATTTCTATGTTTGTGCCATTGCAAAGCACTCTGCACTTAAATCCAGATAAATGAATTATTCTGCAAATTCAGTCAAAGGTCTGAATATAGCTGTTTGGAAACAGTGTTTAGGAAACTTTCTTTGGAACTTTATATCCAATTGTTTTACAGCCCAAGCTACAGTAGCAGGGGCTTTTCCCCAGCTAGAAATCTCCTGACTTCTAAGGATTGCTAATGAAGTATGTGTAGACTTGGTAGAATTTAAGTTTTGTCTTTTTACCATTTTTATTGATATTATTGTTCATTTCAAGCTTTTTTTCTATTAGCATCTAAATTTTCACAGTTGTAGGAAGTTAGAAGTAGCTCAGACAATTATTTAATGACAGACATTGAGATTCAAAAAGGTAAAGCTTTATAAGCTGGCTGTTTTAGCAGAGTGCAAACGTGTGCTTTATACAACATTCATTACAACATGTTGTATACACATTAAGGTGGGACTCTAATAAATTCTCAAGCAGCATTTTTCTTGCTTTGCTTATCTGTAAATTTCTATGATAATTTATGGAAATATTTTTTCATCAATTTGTGCATTCACTGAAATGACATTTAAGGACATTTATTGATAAAAATCTAATCCTTCCAAGCCTAAGTATGAGAAAGTTTCCTTGCTTACACCATCCCTCTGCAATTCCTTTTACAGAAAAAGGGATTCCCATGATTCCTGTTGACATAAACAGAATTATATTTTGATTAAATAATCTGTATATTTAAAATGAGGAATTGTATTATGGAAACAGTCTGCATTGCAGACAGTTTTATTTATCAGGATGGGATCCCATTGTGCTGGGTGCTGTACAGAGTAAGAACAGTATCCCTGCACCAAAGAGTTCATAGTCTAAAAAGTAAAAAAAACAGACAATGGTTATTTGGGAAGGGATACAACCTACCTGTAAATGGCCAGGATGAAGGCTAGCATTGCTTATTTATTCAGAGGATTTTTTTTTCAGGGGAAGAGGTAGGAAATGGGATTAAAAGAAGAAGGGAGAGAAGAGAAGGGATGGGATGAGGATAACAGAGAGGAGAAGGTGGAGAGTAGAGCAGAGGGGGCAATGATCGATTTAATGATTCTAAGGAAAGGAAGGAGTGAGAGCAGCAGAATAAGGACGATTAAAAAAAAATCAGACTTTAACAATTTCAGAGAAATGGTAGGTAGGTCTTCCCATGGGAAGACAATATAAGGGGAAAGGGTATTCAAGAGAGCTGGCAGTTTCTTTTGGAGACAATATTAAAGGCACAACTCCAAACTATCCTGATGGGAAGGAAAGATAGGAAGAATGTTAAGAGGCCAATATGGCTCCATTAGGAGCTCTTTAGTGACCTGATAATCAAAAAAGAATCCTACAAAAAGTGGAGATATGGACAAATTGCTGAGGAGGAGTACAAAAGAATAGCACAAGTGTGTAGGGACAAAATCAGAGAGGCTAAGGCACAAAATGAGTTGCACCTAACAAGGGACATAAAAGGTAATAAGAAGGGGATCTTTGCATATATTAGGAGCAAGAGAAAGACAAAAGAAAGTGTAGGTCCTCCACTTAGTGGGGAAGGAGAGCTAATAACTGATGACGTTAAGAAG